GCAATTAACTGAAAATGTTTTTACTAAACTCCCGAGGCCATGAAAGTATCTAATGTTCAACCACCCAGGCTGTGTTTCCACAGACAAATGAGTTCACGGAAGACAAAACTAAACTTGTGTTGAAACTTAAAAATAGTAACAATACAGGCCCATAGCTATTGGACAGCATCTAGGCTGCCATAGGAATTTGGGGGGGGGGGATCTAACATTGAGGTTGGCCTCATAACTGAGTCTTGGTGTGCCCTTTCTCCCTGAAGGCCGCACAGAAAGAACTGTGCTGGTTGCACCTCCAAGACCACAAGAGTGACTTTGGCAATGGGGTTGAGCGGATGCTCCAGGGGCAGGGATGAGAGGAGAAAGATGCCTCCATTATATGAAGTATCTTGCAGCATCTCAGCCCCCTTCTGTCATGCTCTAAGACAGAAGACAATCTCAGGGTTTTGCAGGGCAGGACTAGCTTGGAGATGATGCTCACTTCCATGCGTCTTCAGCCCTGCATAGGATGCTCATCATCCTCACAGTCTGGATGGCTAATGGCTTCTTGTTTGGATTGTACCCATAGCAGGCTATATACAAATCCTGCCTCATATGTTTCTGTGCACACAGATGTTTTTGCTGTTTTATCTTATTCATCAAGCAACTGTCATTTTTTAAATTTAGAATTTTCTAAAATGCTGAAATTTCAGTCACATTTTCCCCTGAAAAGTTCTAATGTATGTATTAGCATGAACACAGCTGACCACACAATCCAAGTAACAACCTTATTAATTTGAATCATTTAAAAACATACCAAGAAGATTATATATTAATACTATACATATTGACTTAAGGGTCATTGCTATCACTAGATAGAAATAACAAATTGCTGAATCATTATTATTAAATTCAGTGGTAAATAGTAGAAGTTGTATGTGGAGCTGCATAAAATAACAAATCTGTATTTAGGAATACTTGTAATAAGTGACAGGTTAAAGAGACCAGTGATTTCAAGGGCCATCTCCTCCTGGATGAGCTTCCTTGTTCTCAGTCTTCTGAAGCCTCACTTTGTATCTCACAACAATCTGTAGTGAGCGGCCACAAGCAGGGACAGTATCTTTTTGTTAGTAGCTTTCACTCTGAATGCAGTTAATTACAAAATCATCAAGTAGCCAACTCAGACAGGCTATATGGTATTAGGGTATCATTGTATCTGAATGACTGACGATACTATTTTCAAAAATGTCACCAAAGTAGTTGCTGAAAGATGTCATGAACAAGCATTGGACAGGTTTGGAAGGTCCATTTTGCCCCTCAAGGCTCCTATTTTCATTGTGAAAATAGAAACACCTAGAATGCAGCTCTAACTATTACTTTAAGATGAGTTTAACACACATCCATTTTTACATGCATAGGCTTTGTATCTGGTCAAATTCTGAACTTGGCTGATTCTGAAGATGTCCAAACTGAAGCAGGTCTCCCCTCAAACAGAATGTATACAAATCTGAAAACACCTGAAATTTTAGTATTTGAAGGGATACAGTGACTGTGCTCTACACAGTATGACCTGGATTTCACCAGTTCATAGATAACCTAGGTGAAGTATGTCCTCTGTATCTGGCATACCAGGCTAAGCTTGTAGAATGCACTCCTAAGACACCATGGCCACTTGGCCTTTCCCACTTGGTACGGACTCCAAAACGGCTCCCAGACTACACATGTATTTGTTAGGGGGAGTGGAGCTCAGTCTTTAAGGCCAGTTGTAAACCTCTATCTAGAGTAGTTGGCTCCATATTACATCTGTCTTATCTATTCCACCTACAAATGGGATCCATCCTCACTGTCAGAGCAGTACAACAGTGGAACCAGCTGCCTAGAGAGGTGGTGGGCTCTCCCATGCAAGAGACATTCAGAAGGAAACTGGACAGCCATCTGAGTGGATGGTGTAACGTGGTCTCCTGCAACAGCAGGGGGTTGGACCCCATGGCCTTCATGGCCCCTTCCAATTCTACTATTCTATGATTCTATGAAGTAGTTTACAGACACTGATTCTTAAGTTCAACAGCCTCCTTCAGATGTGTCGATGGAAAAAAGAAATAGGGCTGGATGTCATCTGCATAGTGTCCATATTTTGGCTCAAACCTCCACCAGTTCCACCAGCAATTTCATGTAGATATTAAAAAGCACACAGGACAGATCAGAACTTGAGACAGATCCTTGGCTAGTGTCCATGGGGCAGCCTGAGACCACTTCTCCAGGAAAGGAACAGAATCACTTTAAATCATGCTTCTTAACTCAAGCCCAGATAAACTCTCCAATAGTATACTATGACTGATGATACTAAAATCCAAAAGGGTTGAATTCCTCTTATCTGTTCTCTGGTACAAGTCATTAGACAAGCTGACAATTTCCATTCCATAGCCACGTCTGAAAATTGAATGGAAGGGAATCTAAAGAAGTAGTGCCATGGAATGCTGTTTGGAGCTGTGTGGCCAACACACATCTAGCATCTTAACCAGAAATGACAAATCTGATAGCAACCACAGGATGTAGATTTGGTTTCTTCAAGAAGCATTTCATGGTTGCTTCTTTCAAAGCAATGGGAACCTCAGTGTCCTCAGGAATGCATTAATCACCCAAAAAGTTCTTTTCTGTTCTGGCACATTTCACAAATCTGGATGGAAAAGTATCTATAGAACAAGTAGTGGAACTTGGTTCTGTAAGTATTATTATTATTATTATTATTATTATTATTATTATTATTATTATTATTACATTTCTATGCTCATTGTTAGGTTGCACAAGCTGAACAAGCAGGCCACACAAGAGAACCCTAACCCTGACGGGCAGTATAAAAATCAAATAAATAAATAAATGTCTCCATAACATGACTAGAAGCTGCACTGGCCCAATCCTACTCAGGCTCTGAAAAAGCAACAACACTAAGCTGGCACGAATACACGTGATTTTATTTGCAAAATGTCTAGAAACTTGCTCACAACAAGCCTTTGAGGGCTTGAATAGTTGTGTTTCAAAACTTACATCCAAGAAACCTTTTAACTACTTGCTATAGCTCCACTGGTTGGCATTGAGTAGATGAAAGGCTAACAGAAAAACAAGGTTTATTTGTTTCGATAGCCACCACAATATAAGATTACAAATGGATTCTTAGCTATGTTCAACCCTGCTATTAATAGTACAAATCAAGGTTCAGGTATGGACTCATGTTGAAGGAGGGCATTCCAGATTGGTCCAAGTCAAATCAAGCTGTTTTCTCAGTTTCTGAAACAGGATCCAAATTGTGTGGTCAGTGCATAGTCCTAATGGACTTTCAGGGGAGATGGAACCCAGTGCAATCAGGCATATGCGATGTGCAGATCACCCCGAGTAAGTTACCCATATCTCTCTTGGAGAAATCAGACTAGTCTCACAACATCAGAGGTTTTTCAGTACATGACTTCCTTCCGTCTTCTATCTAACAGTACTTACTTCAACCTGATGAAATAATCTGTAGGCCTTTTTTCTTATCCAAACATGCATGGCATTGCACCTAGGTCTGTTACTGTTCATTCATTTCTATTTATTTAATTGGGAGAATTTCTGTACTCCTGTTCATTTCTGTTTCAAATATCACAGTGCTTAAATTCTAATAAAACACAGTAAAACCAATAAATTAACAATACTACATTGATGAAAAATAGTATCTTATTAAAGTAACCAGGAATGGTTGGCAGAGTTAGCTGTCCGCAACATTCCTGGGTAAATAACTGTGTCACTGGTTGTAGGCAGAAGCAGTTCATCCTAGGAGCCCAACTGACTTCAGTGGTGAGATCATTGCTCATGGTGGGCACCACAACTGAGAAAGCCTTGCTTAGTCCCGCAGTCAAATGAACCTCGGCAGACTGCAGTATACCCAGCCAGCCCTTCTGCCTATGCAGGAGAAGCCAGTCTCTTATAATATTTATTTATGATCCTTTATTCTGCCCCATAGCCCAAGGAGTCTCTGGGCAGCTTACAAAACAATGATATACAGAATAAAAGCAGCAATTAAAAAATAATAATGCAACATCTTAAAACAATAACTACCATGACAACAGGAGAAAAAATACATGACTAATAAAAGCAAGCAGTAAGAAAACAAATAAAAACATACTTATACTAAAAACAAATTTGAAATAAAAATGCCTTCACCTAATATAACCCCCCTCCCATGGCCATTCCACATTAAAAATAACCTGAGTATAGACCTGATTGGGTGGAATAAACTTTCAACATGGATGATTCATCATTCATTTTTACTTGCTTGCTTCCATATGCATGAAAAAATACCATATGAAGTCAAAACCCTCTATGAAATACTTGTATAAAGAAGGAAACACAGTAAATTTCTTAGCTAGTAAATGCAATAGATGGGAAGAATGAATTATTGAAATTTTCTGCCTGCAAACCTTGGGAAAACGACAACATTTAGCAAGGCAAGGAAACATGATGTTATTTTCCATTTAATGCTGGAAGGAAAATGCTGGTTGGTAGCTGTAAAGGAATGGGTTTTGACATTCACTGTTGTGATTTTCTATATCATTGCTAAAAAAGGATCTCAATTGTTCTGCCAGAAAACCTTGAATGCTTGAACTAGATGCCACTGGCAGAAGACAAATAGTTTATATTGTCAAAGAAGAAATCATTTAATTCAAAATCAGTAAGTTTTCTTTTCATGAGAACAGAAGAAATGAGTGAGAGTATGTAGTGAAGCATCAAACTTCTTAACAAATGGAATAATATTTTGCACACAATCCACAGAAAGAGATTCAGTCCTTTTGATCCATTAGATATTCATAAGTATGTATGACAGTTTCAGTTTTGCTCACATGGAAATATGCCCCAATAGCAGCTGCGAACATGAGGTTGTCTGTGACCATGTGCCCACCAAAAATATTCATACATTTTTGCACATGCACTCCTGTTTATCTCATTCCCAATTCTCAGTTCAGTAAAATAAATACAAATGTTTCTGTTTGCTTTACCTGAAACTGAGTGATCCTTTGGGTCCCTTGGCATTTTCAGTCTTGCATGGGGAAAGATGTATTGGATAGGCTTCCCATTAATCTAGGAAACATAAAATGTGCATCCTCATTAAGACATGTCTGCTTTTATAATAACTTACCAGTAAGAAACACCCAACAGTATAGAAAATATTTTGAAGTAGGCCTGCCTCCCACCACACACCCCCATCAATGGTCCTGATTTCAAATCACACTTAGGATAGGTTTCCACATTACTTGCAATGTAACAGTAATTCAGCCATACCTGTCCCCAGTAAAGTCTGATGTAATCAGATTATATGGATGGGGCCAGTCACATGGTTATACTTCAAGCATCACAAACCAATGTGATACAGAGGATGGCTCTACATCATTTTTAGATTGTTGGGTCAATCCAGCTAAATTCAAATGAACCACATTCTGCCACCTCATGGTGATTTTCTTGAGTCTCCATCTAATCCTGCTTCAATAAAAGAATGCATAACTATATGCATGTAAAATTTCAACTTTGAAAGTTACACTTGAAAGTTATTCATGTTGACTATTATAGTCCTAAATGGCCTACGACTAAGGACTGCTTCTTCTCCTATGAAACAGCCATATCGAAGATGTCCTCGCAGTCACCATGCATTCAGGGATTAGGCGGGCACATTTGATAGGTTTTTCTTTTGCCACCCACAAATTTTGGAACATCTTTCCCTAGGGTATTTGCCTAGCACCCTCATTCCTGATTTTCAGCCATTTGCAGATACGTAGGCTTTTACTCTGTGGCCCCTTTTTTTCCCTTGCTGCAACTTTGGATGTTCTAATTTTTCTATTTCTCTATTTCATTTTTGACATTCCACATGTTCAAGGAGAAAAGCAAGGGCAGGTTTTAAAATAAAATAAATGTAAGTATCCTTTTTGCAATAAAAATATAATAAATGTATTCTGTTTGTAGGTCTCAGTATCAGTAGTAACAGTAGAAGGGATCAGTATCACTTAAAAAACAAAAGCATAAAACACTGGATTGCCATCCTTTGACATTTTCAAAGGCAATACATGTTGGGCTATCAAGAAATGGAATCTATATACTTGCAGCATGAGATGCCTGACAAAATAACTTTACTGAAGGGAGAAACAGCAAAGAGTATTATGGCATCTTCAAAATAATTGTATTATGGCATAAGTTTTCATTCCCTGGTATCCACTTCACTGGATACGTGGGTTGCAAATATGCTCCAGGGAACCCTTTTCAAGGGGAAAAGCAAATGCTATGGAATTGTACCAGGTTGGCTTTACCCAATGGGATGTTTTCTTTAGTACCATAATTCTGCACAGACATAGCCCTTCTGACTATTCAACATCAGTTGAGCAGCTCAGACAGTGGAATCAGATGCCCCATCTGCTCATCTCTCTGTCTTTTGCAGCTCTCATTCCCATTTCATTTCATCCCAGCAAAAGTGCTACAGATGTCCACAAATTTATAGCACCTTATAATGAAGCAAATCAATCAATCAATCAATATAGAAGTAGCACTCAGGGGCACAAGACAGATCAACAGCACAAAGAAACCAGCTCATTAGTTGTTTGGTTGAAATTTTGGCTCTGATTTTGGAGCAATAATTTTTGTGTTCTCTTTATTTCAAAATATAAAATAAAATAAAATGCCATGGTTAAAAATAGAGTGGCTGCAATCTATAAAATCTGGTTATGTCTAAGGGTGCCAAAGTCCTGATCTGAAAGATGGTCCCTATGCTTGTATATTTGCAAGGGAAAGAGAAATTTAGCTACCTATTTTCTTTCAACCTACCTTGACAGATCAAACTGCAAATATCAAACATCTTACCATCCAGTGGAATACTCCTGTAACAGATGGCAACTGTGTTTAGATATTTGCAGTTAAAAGCATCATAGTCTGAATGGCTTGTAGGCATGGGTAAGAAATGTGTTTGGTTTGTATTTTAATACAAATTTACCAATTGCAGCATTCAGTGTTGGCAATCCACCACTGCCCACTAGCTTATGCCAGTGGGAATGAACATTACCACAATGAGAAGCGAGTGCTTTCTCCAGCAACCCAGGAAACAAGATGTTAGCATTTCCAGAAAGAGGCAGGTCACGCAGATGCCCTGAACCTGAACCTAAACATTTGCGCTTATGGCAGTGTTTGTGCTTTCCTGAGTTTTGCAAAGCAATTTGAAAATTTTAAAAATATGTCTAAAAATATGTGTCCTATGGGAGACAGCATATAAAATCACAAAGTATTAGAGAAAAATCACTCATAGAAAATCGTACCTTTAGAAAACTGCATACAGAACTGCATATCTAGAAACATGTTTACAATAATGTGTTGACTTGGATAGACACACATGCATATACAGATAAAACTTCATGCAAGTCTACAAACTGATGTGGAAACAGGACAGATCTAACTTAATGGAAGAAAAATGAGAAGCTGAGTGGAATTGAACTGACATTCCAGTTTGATGCTTCAACCTAAATCTAGATGCTCCCCCTATTTTTAATGAGAAAATCTGCTTTGGGAAGGGACAGTTCAGAACAGTGAATAGTACAGTGAACCTTTTCTGCACTCCCCACTATAGTCTAAGTCCATAAAACTGTTCAGGAACCTTTTACAGTCTGTGCCCTCTGCTTCTTGATTTTAGGAATGGCTGATCTTAGGAAGTGGCCAGGTTTGGGAATGCTCTGCTTTGCTAAACTTCCTCACAATAAAGATTCCCAGCCATCTCAGTAAGACTGTTTTTCAAATGGTAAGTATTAGAAGGAAGCTTTTATTACCACTAATTCTCTTTCCACCCACTATTCAAAGGAAAAAAGGTCATCTTTTAATGAAAAGAATTTTCTATTTACCCCATGACTGCGTCAGTTGAAAGCCATTCATTTTTATGCCAATTCAGTTTTAGATTCATAAACTGTAATTTACTGTCTAGGGTTTTTTTCCATGTCATTTATTTAAAATGAAGGTTTGGGAGAATGCATAGTTAAGAAAAGAATAGGAACTTGCTTAGTGTATTATATTTCCATTACTTCCACCTGCACTGTTTTAGAATCAGTATAAATCTTCGTGATAAACAAACATATATATAGGCTGTAGGTGTTTATTGTTACCCGGGGATCAATAGCATCCATTTTTATTGCTTGCTTGAAACTATGCCTAAATGGTGGATGCCATTTTGAACTTAGCCCAGCCAATAGAGAATGTTTGGGATAATGGCAAAAGAGAACAACAAAGAGGACTTTGCTTCTTTTTCTACCCACCAAAGTACTCTTGTGAATCTTTTTTCCATCCAAAACCTTTTTCTGAGAAAGTGAAATATGTCTATGCAGCCCATGGGATTATGGGAACATATGACTTGACCTCTAACACTGTGTTCTGGAATAGGAATAAATGCGCAGCTGTATTTTGTCTTTACATTGTGGTGCCAGTTTTTCTCTGGAACTTACTGGCTCAGAGTTTTATTCTTGGAGGATAAGTCGAATTTGTTATGCTTTAGGCACAACTTCATAGGGGGTAGGCACTGTCTGGGTGGCCAGAGAAAATTCATAATCCCAGCTGTGATGGGAGAAACACACTCCAAGGGTGGAGCTGGGACTCCAAATTCAAAGCACCCTCTGCCATTGCAGCTGGCTTAGTTCTTTCTACACCAGCAGAGACCTTACAGCCAGCATTGGAGCGGCAAGGAGTGGAAGACTAAGTGCAGCTTCCGCATCTCAGCTCTGAAGTGAGGAAGGGGACAATAATACTCAGACACTGGATAGTTGAAATCCAGTGCTGAGCACTTCTAGAGGGTAAAAGTGCTTTACATCTGTAAAGCTCACTGATGTGAATTTCTCTACCCTCTGCCTTTTTCACTGGTTGGCTGATTTTAGAGGAGAGATGCCTTTACTCGGTCTTTTCCAAAGTCAGGGTTGTATTAGTGCCCCACATTGATAAAGATTTATACACACAATAGTGGTCTCTAAAGAGAATGCTGCATATTTGCCTGTATAAATTCTGTATAATGCCAGGGTAACTGTTGGGTTGAGTATTTTAGAAACAGAATTTAGGAGCAGGTCTATATTCAAAATGTTTGATGAATGTCTGGATTAAGCTTGTCATCTATTTATAGCCAATATAGATACACAGGAACCTTAAGCTGAACAGGGTCAAAATCTGGGGTGGGTGATATGCTCCCCCCCAGAAATTGCTGGACTACAACTCCCATAATCCCTGACTTTGGTCATGCTGGCCAGTGCTAATGGGAATTGGAGTACATAGATTTCCTATTCCTGGTCTAAATGAACAAGCTTCCAACTAAATTGCCACTATTTTGCTGGCACTGAAAAACAATCTGGTATATGGATTTTTAGCAGGGAAATTTTAGGAGGTGTGATGACATAATGCTCACCTCACTTGTATTGCTGGACTTTCAGAGGAACAGCAGCCAGGCTAATAATTAAAATAAAGGCAAGTTTGGAGGTTGTATCTCTAGCATCTATAAATCCATGGCCTGGAATTCCATTTCCTGACATATCTGTTCTACCTTTGAGTGTTGCTACAAATTACATGGTATTACTCAGCTTTATATAATGTTCTCCATCTGCAAAGACAGAAGTTAGCCACAGGTACTGAGTAAATACAAGCACACACAGATGGTTAAGTGGTAAGTGGGAATAAAATGAGTCAGGCTAATGAGCTACCAGTAGACCATCCTTATTCTGAATCGTCACTATCCTGAGATAAAGCTGTGGGTTTTAACAGGCGCTTTCAGATTCCCACTGCAGCCTGCACATTCCCAGGCATATCGCCCTGAAAATTATCAGTCCATCTCACAGTCTAGGCAACAGGGCAAGTTCCATTTTTGCTCAGGTGGGCTCTCAGAAGAGAAGCACCAGGACTGGCTAAGACTGCAACTATGATCTTACCAGATCACACTGGGGCCAGAGGCATTCTGAGCTAAAGAAAGATGGCAGTGGCTTCAGCCTCTAGACTCAGTACTCCACTCAGTGCTGGGACTAAATTTCCAGAAATTAAGAACTAAACCAGTCCTGGCATCATCTCTTCCCCTGGTCTGTGTAGGC